CTTTCCTTGACCAAAGTGACTCGTGGGTAAATGGACATTACCTCTGTGACACGTGGGTGTTAGAGGGCTCCCGGGGATTTTACTCTGGGACTCCTCCCCTACAGAGAAGTTGGCAAACCAAGTGCATCAGAGTACATTTCTATCAGATTGAAATACAAGCTCTTTCCACTCTGTGATGATCAACAATGAAAACATATAAAATAACAAGCTTTCCGTGGGAGTCAGGATAGTCAGGATAATGCTTAGGGCACCTGCGGGCTCTTCAACCAGACCATCTGGATTCAAATTCCAAATCACATAGTAAGTGCTCAGTAAATGTTAGCTGTTATTTTACTTGGAATAAACACCAAATTCCTATTATGGTCTACAACCTACTTGATATATTCTGTATCTCCAACTTCATCTTTACTCTCCCCAATTGTTCACAATCCAATTTGCCTCTTCAGTTTTTTGATCATTCTAAGTTTATTTGCCTGAGGCTCTTTCCACTCCCAGTAAGGAATGTTCTCCCAGATCGAACTGGTTCCTCACCATCCAGGTTTTGGGTTTAACATCAGCCCTAATTTATCTATCCAAAATAGTTTCTCTTTCTCTACTCGATACATCACATTTTGATTTATTTTATGGCCCTTACCGATAACTTACTTTATTTGTCTCCCCCGTTTAAATGTAAACTCCATGGCGACAGGAAAACTCTTGTTCATCTTTATCCTAGAACTAGAATGATGACTGGTACACTTAAGGCACTTGATGTTTATTAAATGAAAAGGGAAAAAAATTATCATTCAGCGGAAACCGGTTTGGCTCAATGGATAGAGTGTCGGCTTGGGGACTGAAGGGTCATCCCGGTAGGGGGTGTGCAAGAGGCAGCTGATTGATGACTCTCTCTCATCGATGTTTCTAACTATCTCTCTCCCTTCCTCTCTGTACAAAATCAATAAAATATATTTTTGAAAATTATCACTTAAATCCCATTCAAATGTAAAAACTTAGCCACAATCCACAGAGAAAACAGGATTTCAAATAATAATAAGAGCTGGGTCCCATAGGTGGATATTTTTGTGCTCCTAACAGCCCATCTTTTGAAAAATCTTTCACTAATTTAAAAAAATCCCAGATTATGAGTTCTGCCTCCCTGTTGTAGACAACAGAATTCAAATTCCCAGAATTCTTGCTGCTAGTATTTAGGCATGTGATTGGGCGCTACCTACCAGACACACCATCATAAGACTCAGAAAAGAGCAATCCTATCTAATAAAATGGTAATATACAAATTGACCATCACTCCACACAAGATGGCTGTGCTGATGTGATCAAAGATGGCTGCCCCCATGTAGACACAAAGATGTCCACCACAAGATCAGGGGAGGGAAGTTGGAAGGGACCCAGGCCTGCAGGGGAGGGCAGTTTGGGGTGGGGGGAAGATTAGGCCTGCAGGGGAGGAAAGCAGGGAGGGACCAGGCCTGCAGAGGAGGCAGTTGGGGGCTACCAAACCTGCAGGGGAGGGCAGTTGGGGCAACCAGGCCTGTAGGGTAGGGCAGTTGGGGGCAACCCAACCTGCCTGGGAGGGCAGCTGGGGGGTAAGGGGTGGGGAGGGTAACCAGGCCTGCAGGGCAAGGCAGTTTGGGGCAACCACACCTGGAGGGGAGGGCAGTTAGGGGTTACCAGGCTGGCAAGGGAGGGCAGTTAGGGATTACCAGGCCAACAGGGGAGGGCAGTTGGGGTCACCAGGCTGGCAGGAGAGGGCAGTTAGAGGTGACCAGGCTGGCATAGGAGGGCCATTAGGGGCGATCAGGCTGGCAGGAAGCAGTTTGGCATTGATCAGGTTGGCAGGGAAGTAATTAGGAATTGATCAGGCTGGCAGGCAGAAGTGGTTAGGGGCAATAAGGCAAGCAGGCAGGTGAGTGGTCTGGAGCCAGCAGTCCTGGATTGTGAGAGGGATGTTTGACTGCTCGTTTAGGCCCGATCCCAGCAAGGGGTTCCAGACTGGAGAGGGTGCAGGCTGGGCCGAGGGACACCTGCCCCCAGTGCACGAATTTTGTGCACCAGGCCTCCAGTCTATATAATCTATATAATAAAAGCCTAAGAAACCATTACAGTAGAATGACCGGAATGACTGGTTACTATGATGCACATTAACCACCAGGGGGCAGACTTTCAATGCAGGAGCTACCCCGTTGGTCAGTGTGCTCCCGCAGGGGGAGTGCCGCTCAGCCAGAAGCCAGGCTCACGACTGGTGAGCAGCGAGCAGGCAGGCAATAAGGAGTAAGGGTTCCTGGACTGTGAGAGGGATGTCAATCTCTGGCTTAGGCCCTATTCCTGCAGGGGTCTTGGACTGAGAGATGGTGCAGGCCAGGATAAGGGATCCCTCAACCCCAGTGCACAAATTTCGTGCACTGGACCTCTAGTGCAGTATAAAGCCACTCTGCTTCCTGCCCTCTGGGCTGGATGGTGATAGGAGAGCAGTGGGGCCAGGTCAAGTGAGATCAGTGATGCTCTGCTGGAAGTTTCCTCTAGTGCTACATGGGACAGCAGAGCACAAGTGTTCTCAGGCCAGTTCTGTGCATGGTTTTGGGCGCAGCTCCTAGAAGTACAGCCTTAGGTCTGTCTCCAATGTCAATCAGGTTTGCAGGAACTACCAAATCTGCCTAACTTTAAGACATTACTTTCTATCTCTGTTCACTTGATTGTTTCCTGATATGTATCAGAACCAGCTTTGGTCCTGGGAATAAGAAGGTACGACAACAGGCCCAGTGATCTTTGTTCTCTCCAGATCTCAGTCATTTATTTCCCCAACTCCTTGGGAGAAGAGTTATAAGAAACCTGCTCCATCTTTATAACATAGAATGGCCTATTATACTTTAAGCACCCATATTCAAAAAATGAGCTTCAGTTAAAAAGTGATGAGTATCCTCATTTTGAATTTGACTTTTAAATGCCATCCTTTTATAATAAAACTAGAGGCCCAGTGCATGAAATTCATGCACAGAGGGGGTGTCCCTTAATCCAGCCTATACCCTTTCCAATCTGGGACCCCTCAGGGGATGTCTGACTTAAGGTTAAACCAGCAGACATCCCTCTCACAATCCAGGACTCCTGGCTCCTAACTGCTTGCCTGCCTGATTGCCCTTAACTGCTTCTGCCTGCCAGCCTGATCACCCCCCTAAGGGCTTCCCTGCTGGCCTGATCGAGGCCTAACTGCTCCCCTGACAGCTTCTTCACGCACAACTGCCCTCCCCTGCTGCAACCCGCATCCTCTGCTGGGACCCGGCTCCTCAGTGCCACACAGAGCTGCAGGACTTCCAGGCCTCACCATGCAGAGCGGGCCCTGCCTCTGCTTTGCATGTGTGTGTGGGCAACTCATGACAACATTGCACAAGACTGTTGCACGAGGGCATGACGCCACCTAGGCTTTCATTATATAGGACAAGAGTCCCTATCAGAGATTGCAAACTGATAAGAAAATCTGACACACTGAGGGTTTTGTCTACCCGCAATGTTTTTTCATTTTCTAAAATATTTGTAGCCAGAGATACAGATTTCACATTCATGACTATGAATTACAGGTAGGTTTATATGCCAGAGTCAGTTGGCGAGTAGGGGCCTCCTTTGACAAGGCATTTCTTCTTCAATTTGTCACTAATATATATTCACATACCAAATGTTCCCTTTTAGTTTGGTTGCAGATATTGGAAATTGGGCAGAGTACCTGCCATTTCATGGAAATGTTTAAAAATCAGAACCGCCTACATTTTGCACTACTATAAAATGCTGGAATAAAACAAACTAAATCAAGATTAAAAGGGCAAGTTAAAGGGGGAAAGGGAGAGTTCTTTGGTCGGTGCAAAGTTTTAAGTCATGCAGGAGTGGGAGGATTCTGGGATCTGTTGCAAACATATGCAGGTGGTTGACAATACTGTTGGAAACTGCTGGGAGGGTGTATTTTTATAATTTTTTTTCTACAATTAAAGTATCAATGTGATTCACTAATGAAAAGGAGAAAAAAGTTAAGAAACACATAATCTTAATAAATGCATCTGATAAATTCAGGCAAAACTCTTAGCAAACTATAAACAGAAAAAATGTCATTAATTTGATGGTTATTTATAGTAAAGCAATAATAAGCAATACTGATCAAATCATCAGTTTTTCATCTGAGCCTGAGATAAGAATGTTCACTATTCCACTTTAATTCAGTATTGTATTTGGGGTCCTGACCATACAGGAAAGCCAACAATAAAAATAGCAGACTGGATGGGAAAGGGCAGGAATTTGGAACTTGGACTTGAAGAATCCAAAGCAAGCCAAACAATAGTATACAGTTTAGAAAATGTTATGTGTACAGCATAGGGCGGACCCTGAAGCTAACTTTAAAAATCAGCAACTTGTAAGAGAAACTGACATACTCTGGAAGTGGTTTCCTTTTTCTTGCTAACCTGTAAATACTTCACTTTTATGTGAATTCAAAATATTTAATGATCACTTTCCAGATAATTAAGACAATTTTCACTTTAACCCTTAGTTCCATAGGATATATTCTATCATTTGAAATAGAAATAAAACCCAAAGAATGCCTTTAGTAAACAATAAACTGATCTTAAGTATATCATCTGCAATCAATTCGGTAAGACTAAGTTTACAACAACTTAATTCCAGGCCTAAAAAAGACCCATTTAGAGAGTCTTTTGATTGGGGGAGGTGGGAAAAAAGCAAGACAGGCAAATGATCTGTAAATTAAAATACAAAATCCTATCACTTACAATATATCTCACATGTTCAAGACACCCTCCAAGTACTGAAAACACAGAAACAATTTTATAGACCCTCAACAACGTAACACCCAATAAATTACCATTAAAAAAGCCCCTTATAAAAAGAAAGCTATGTATTCACAGATGCAGAATCCAGTCTTTGTACATTACTGAGAAAAATGGAAGTAAATGTATCTTTAAAAATGCAATCCACATTTTTCTCAGGTCAGACTATGGATAGCAACCACCTCAGTACTGAGGAAATGTTTCATCGATTTTGGCAGCCCAGGCCATGAGCCCCCCCACAACATCCTGAACAGTGAGAGAGTCTAACTCTGGGATTGCTGTCAAGGACTGCAGGATCTTCACGGCTTTCTGGGAGTCATTGCCCAGTTTGCAAATCACATAGACCGGGAGGGCTGCTCCTTCCTGTGTGCCTTGCTTCCCTTTATGGATTGCTTCTCCTAAGAGTTTCAGGCTCTCTCCATCCCCACGTTCCAAATGTTTCAAAGGGATGTGTAGAGCATGAGGCAAACGACAGATGTCCACTTCCACTTGAGGCCTGACGTCCAGCAGTAGGTGGGGCGACCCAGAATCCAGAAGTCGCTTATAGTCAGCGACAGAGACTCGCTCTTCGGGGCTCAGCAGCTGAAGGGAGCGGCACTTATCCGTGGCTGAGGAGCCACAGAAGGCTTCATAGTCCTGCAGGTCGGTCACCGTGGGCCGTTCTCCACAAGCTGCACAATCCGGCCTGCGGCCCCGCAGCTGAATGCAGCGGAAATGTCCTCCGAGGGCGTCAAAGAGCAACAGGCTGCCACTGTAAGAGGGGCCCATCCCTGCGGCGATCTTCAACACCTCCAGCGCCTGCAGGCAGCCCAGGACGCCCGTGACAACACCGAGCACCCCGCCATCCGCGCAGTTGGTCACCGTCTCCGCTGGAGGTGGCTGGGGGAACAGGCAGCGATAGCAAGGCCCGCCGTCGTAGTGGTAGACTGTGATTTGGCCCTCAAAGCGCAGGGCGCTGGCGGACACGAGAGGCCTGCCGGCCAGCACACACGCGTCGCTCACAAGGTAGCGGGTGGGCACGTTGTCGGAGCAGTCAGCGACCACGTCATAACGGCGGATTAGGTCTAGGGCCGTGGCTGGAGTAAGAGCCTGGGCATAAGGCACGCACTCCACAGCTGAATTGAGCCGGTGCAGCGAGGCTGCAGCGGAAAAGACCTTGGCCTGGCCGGCCAGGGCCTCGCCGTGCAGCACTTGGCGGGGCAGGTTGCTCACTTCCACTACGTCGTAGTCCACAAGGCCCAGGCGGCCCACGCCGGCCGCTGCCAGGTACTGCGCCAGCGGGCAGCCGAGCCCGCCGCAGCCCACGACTAGCACGGACGCGGTGGCCAGCCGCAGCTGCCCGTGCACCCCGAGCTCGGGCAGCACGAGCTGCCGGCTGTAGCGCAGAATCTCATCGCGGGACAGCGCGGCCTTCGGCGGCAGGGGCGACACCGGAGCCTGCGGCGCGGGCTCATCCTCCGCCAGAAGAGCCGCCGCCAGTCTCTGCTTCAGGGAACTCAGTTCCTCCTCGCGCCGGGCAACTTCAGCCTGCAAGGCAAGAACCTCCTCTCGGGAAGCCATGGCAGCCGCTTCCGGAAGTTATCTTGAAGGCATTTCCGTTTCCGGCTTATCGTCTCCTGGAGACTGGAATAAACTAAAAAACTTTCCGGAACTTTGGAAAAGGTGATAAATGGATATTTATTTCCTAAAACAACATTCAGATTCAGTTTTAAGGATTCATCAGCTCTGACTCTTTAGGAGAATTAGTACTCAACCACACAGCCCACTCCCCGGACTCCCCCGTCTCTTCCCGCATTTGGCGCGGTCCGACTCGGCCGTGCCCGCGCCGCGCTGACGTCATTCCGCTTCCGGCGTCTCGCGGAGTTCCGCCATGGCCTCCAAGACGGCGAATCGTACTCCTCCGAGGTCTCGTCGGGACCCCGAGGGGCGCGTTCCGGGACGGGACAAGTATTCGGTGCTGTTGCCCACCTACAACGAGCGCGAGAACCTGCCGCTCATCGTGTGGCTGCTGGTGAAGAGCTTCTCGGAGAGGTAGCGTGCGCGGCCCTCCCTCGCCCGGAGGGGATGAGCTGGCTTCCCGGGCTGGTGGCCGGCAGTTGGCCGCGCGAGGCGGCCCTGCTCCCTCCGGCTGATGCGGGAAGTCTCCGGGAGGAGGCCACCCTTCGAGGGATGCAGAGGTGGATCCCGCTGGGGTTCCGTCCCTGACCCGGTTCTCCTTCCTGCCCTTGTGAGACAGACACTCCCTTATCTCTACTGTGGACTGTCCGCTCCCGGGTCCCGCCCGCCCCCCAGTCCCTCTCTCTCTCTCCAAGGCTGGCCGCCCTCGGTGGGCGCGAGGCTGTCAGCCTGGCCTCACGCCTCGCCCTGGGACCCGGAGCCTGGGTGGCCAGGCCCTGCGGCGGGACCGGAGTCTCCTCGGGCTCTCCGGCTCGCCCCCGGGCCCGGTGCTTACGTAAGCGCGAGGTGTGTGTGTCTGGGTCGGGAGCTGCCGCGGGGCTGCACCACCTTCCTGGAGAGCGCAGGAGGGGGGCAGCTCCGCTGGCCCCTGTGGATGTTTGCTGTTGGTCGGTAGAACCGGGGGCTCAGAAGCGTTTATGCACATTTTCTTAAACGTTGGAAAACCCTGGTATCATGACAGAGTAGCGTCATTTATGTTACACATTTCGGTGCCATGTTGCAGAAATCTTTGAAGATGTTTCCCATATCAGCACATACAGACGTAGCAAATTGTTTTGAAAATGAAATAATATTCCATGCGGCTGTGTTATATATTTTATTGAAGCGGGTTATGTCAACGAACATGGATGTGATAAATATATATATGTTTATTACATTTCCTTTACATTTACAAATGAGAACGGGGACTTTGTTCATGCCACATTGTCCAGCATTTTGAAAAGTGACGCATACACGAACACTCATACTTTTGCTGGTACATCAGGATGAAGGTTTTGCGGTGATATTGCTGGATCGGAAGAGATGTGCTTAAAATGGATAGTTATTGACAGATTACTGTCAAAAGAGATTGTACTGGCTTAGGACTCTCCAGCATTCTTCAGAGAGTGCCTGTTCTCCCACAGCCAGTCAACCTGAGTATTATTACTTCGTTGGAAATGATATTTGGTGGAAAACATTGCTTGGTGTGTGCTTTTTTTCAGCTGCACTATTTTATTATTTTTAAATTTTTATTTTTAACTACCGTTTACATTTAATATTTTGTATTAGTTTCAAGTATACAGCATAGCAGTTAAATAATCACAAACATTGCTATTTTAATTATTTTTCTTTGAATGAAATAACTATCTTCTCATACATAATTCTTTACATTTTTTTATTCATCTTTTTCCTCTTTTTAAATTTTATTTTTATTTTGATTTCTACAAGCTCTTTTCAATTTAGAGAATTATCTTGTTCCTGTTTGACTTCTTTATTATCTTGTTCCTTTTTGACTTCAAAATTATACAATAACTTTGTCTTATTTTAAAATATTTTATGTAGTGCAGTTTATATTTTAATTGTCTCGGAATGGATTTTTTAAAATCAAAATGAAATTTAGCCCTGGCCAGTGTGGTTCAGTTGGTTGAGCATGATCCCATATACCAGAAGGTCCTCGGTTCGATTCCCAGTCCGGGCACATGCCTAGGTTTTATTGAAACATCAATGTGGGTAACACTCACCCCTGGTAAGAGTGTGTAAAGGGCAGCCAAATCAATAAAAACATTTTAAAAAATGAAGTTTAATGAAGGAAACAACTTGTCAGATTCTGTCATATTAACTAATATCTGCTCAGCTTGATTCTTTTCAGCTCCCTCACCCTCAGGTGGTATGGGTGCTTTGAAATGGGCTAGAAGAGAATTTGCTTTGAAGTGTGTATCTTTCAGCCCATCAGCTGGAATCAACATTTTACTTGTTTGGGCTTTTAAGCACATGGCCAAGTTTTAACACATTGGAAGCTGAAGTGATATTTTTTACTCCTGGAGAATTTATAAGGCTGAGTTTTCTTTCTGGAAGTTTGCTGGGCCTGAATTTCTTAAGCTTTAAATAGTGGAATGTATTTTTTGGTTGACTTCCTTGCATATTATCTGAAGTAGGACTAAGAAGAAACAGAATGTTGTGTGTGAAAGTTTAGCATTGCCTCATTTTCTTTCCCCTTAAGTTCCCAATACAGTTAACAAAAAGAATGATTTTTAAAGGGGATAGTGATTTCATGTACATCCAAGTATTATGCTGGCTTGTTTTCAGAATAGAAACTATTCCATAAAGACAGTGGAGAGCAGCAGAAAGATGTTAGTTTTGAAGGATATTGAAAAAAAGTCTTTTTGTTAATCCTCACCGGAGGATATTTTTCCCCCCATTGCTTTTCAGAGAGAGTTGGAAAGGAAGGAGGGAGGTGTGAGAGAGAGAGAGACATCAGTGCGGAGAGACACATTGACTGGTTGCCTCCTACAAGCACCCCAACTGGGGTAGGGATCAAACATGAGACTAACCACTGAACACATTGGCCAAAGTGGATATTGAAATATTTTGTTATTCTGTGCTATTTCTTTTTATTTGCTAGTGTAGGATAATGTGTACAATTATTGAAATAGAGGTATAAAAGATTATGTTGCCATTCTGAAGTAGGTTTTTTTAAAGGGTGAAATTAAGTTGGCTTTATTCCTGATATGTTCTTAAAATCATTTGGGATTAATTTTTAAATAATTACCCGGAGCTATGCAATTAATTTGAGCTATCTATTAAATATACTTTTGAAATAGTTAATAAACTATTTGGTATTGAGGTCCTACAATTCTATTGCCAAAGTAAATAAAACTTCATATGATATACTATCATATATATTATATACATATAAATCACTGGTTTTTAAAAATATATATTTTGTTTTTGTTTTTAGAAAGATTAGAAACATCAATGAAAGAGAAATATCAGTAGGCTGCCTCCCACACATTCCCCACTGGGCACTGAGCCTGAAACCTGGGCATGTGCCCTACCAGAAATCAAACCCATGACATCTTGGTGCATGGTCAACACTCAGCCATTGACCCACACTAGCCAGGCTCACTGGCTTTTTTAATGTTTTCTGTGAGAGAACTTTTTAACAACTTAGGACTTTATAATAACATTCTTCAGCAACATGTTGACTTTGGAAGTGAAGTACTGAGTATTTTTCATTTCATTTGATATTTGAAGTTTTCCTTAGTGATTACTATGGCAATAAATTTCCACTACTGGTTAAGAATTAGTCATTTTAAAATTATTTTTATTATAATACTGTATTAAAACAATACAAATTTAATTTTCTTATTTTAGTGGAATCAACTATGAAATTATAATCATAGATGATGGGAGCCCAGATGGAACAAGGGAAGTTGCTGAACAGTTGGAGAAGATCTATGGATCAGACAAAATTGTAAGTTGTGTGAATATTTTTCTATCTTATCAGTTGTGTTTTTGTAGGGGAAAGATGAGAGATGAACAGTGTTTAAATTCAATCTGTCTAGGAACTGAAAAGATAAACACTTTTTGGCATTTATATGCATACTCATAGTGTTTGAGGTTTTACCTCTTTTTGATATGCTGATCAGTAGTTTTACAGCAAAATAGAGAGTCTTTGGATGAACTCTGTTTTTATGACTGGTTCTGTAGATAAGTTTTCTTGAAGGACAAAATCAAAGCACGACACAGAATTGACAAGAAATATTATAGAGCAAGGCTGCAGTTGGTGATGTGGGACTTAATCTTTCTTGCTCCCTTTCTCTCGGTCCTCCCAGCCTTTCACAAGAAAATACTGCGTGCAGCTAAAAGCTTATAACTGAGAAAGGTGGCTGTTTTCATGTGAAGCAGGAATGGCTTTTCAGAGTTCTTGGCATTTTTATTTTTATCTGTAGAACAGTCTTGTGGGAGTAGATTGACTCTCTGAGTCTTAAACTTTAGATTTTTCTACTGTAACTTGAAGCCTGTTCTTCTGTGGGAGAGACTTAGGCAGAGAGTTCATTTTATAATGACTTCATAAATTTTATTTTTATTTTTATTTATTTTTAAATATATTTTATTGATTTTGTACAGAGAGGAAGGGAGAGAGATAGAGAGCTAGAAACATCAATGGGAGAGAGTCATCGATCAGCTGCCTCCTGCACATCCCCCACCGGGGATATGCCCGCAACCAAGATACATGCCCTTGACCGGAATCGAACCCGGGTCCTTTCAGTCCCCAAGCCGACGCTTTATCCACTGAGCCAAACCGGTCCCGGCCATAAATTTTATTTTTAGTCATTGGCTTGGATTTAGAAAATACATTGTAGGCATTGGGTGTTGTAAAAGTTTCTCAATCTTGACACTATTGACATCTGGGACCAATGATTATTTGCTGTGAGAGGCTTTCCTGTATGTTGTGGGATGTTCAGCATCATTCCTGGTCTATAACCACTAGATATTAGTAGCTACTACCCTCCTTCCCAATGTGGTAATCAAAAATGTCTCAGGATACTGTCAGATGTCCCCTTATGGGCAAAATTGTCCCCTCTTCCCAACAAAGAACCATTGGCATAAACAAAAAGAAGTCTCTTGGAGAGCCTTTATTGATTATTTACATCTCAAGAAATGGTCATCAGCATCATAAAAATAGTCACTGGATTCAAATATTCTTGATAATCTAAATAATTTCTATTTAGTTGGAGGAGATCTTTGTCAGTGGGGAGAGTTTAAGGGAAATGTGTTACTATTATATACATGGTAATCTTTCCTATAATAGAGATTCTTTCTGTCTGTCTCACAGAGGAGCAACTCACAGATCTGTCATTCTCCAGTCTTCTCTGAATATTTCCTGTTGTATAGGAGTACAGAAAGAGATAACAAGTTGACAGATTTCAGCTGCTAGCAGTGACTTCCAGTGATGATGGTAGGCTCTTTGGTTTGGCCAAGAATTACCCAGTTTCTTTTTTCGAAGTTCTGGGCCATGGCCATTGATGCACACATTATATATAGATACTTTGAGTTATGTGCTGCTCTTTAATCTGAGAACATCAACCTGGTAATATTTTGAATGCATATATCATAGAAGCTCAGCCTTGAGGTCTAACTGACTGATTTTAGGGATTGCCTATTAAATTGACATTCACAAATTCTAAAACATTGTTCCTCAAAGCTTTTCATTTTTCCCATCAACAAAATAAAATTCAAGTGCATAAGAAAATTAGCCTCTACTATCACAATTTCCATGTTGTACCAGGGAAATTCCCTGTTCATTATTTTATGATCTTTAAATTATATAAACTAGAACATTTTTTTCAGTGTTAGGCCTTGCTAGGGGTGGTACTTATTTGCTTTTAAGCAATTTATGAATGTTTGGTTGAGGGAAAAGATGGATAAAAATGGTTATTTTTCTCAGATAAAGTGGTTCAGCCCAGATGCTTTGTCCAAGCTAGCCTGGTTGAAATGAATGCATCAGGAGAAAGCCAAGGAAATTGTTTCTTTTCTTTTCTTTTTTTAAAAATATATGTTATTGATTTTTTACAGAGAGGAAGAAAGAGGGATATAGAGTTAGAACATCGATGAGAGAGAATCATCAATCAGCTGCCTCTTGCACACCCCCTACTGGGGATGTGCCCGCAACCAAGGTACATGCCCTTGACCGGAATCGAACCCGGGACTTTTTAGTCCGCAGGCTGATGCTCTATCCACTGAGCCAAATTGGTTTCGGCTCTTTTTTTTTTTTTTTTTTTTTTTTTTTAACTCTGTAGTTGAAGAAACAGACAAGAAGTTAATTCACTTCCCAAGATTCCACAGCCAGCTAATACCTGGCAGAGATGGGATGATAGAAAAGTTGGAACGTGTCCTGAACTGTTACAGGGCAGCAAGATCTGACATTGTGGAGGGCTTCAACCTTTCTATGTTTTAATGCTTCTGTCATGTTTGATATGTGAGTTTTGTTTCCTCCCCTAACCTGAAATCAGATAAAAAATCTGGCAGATCAGCCCAACAGTTTTGTGCAACTTTCTCTGCTACTGTAACTCAGGTACTAATGCTTGAAAAGACAAAGGGACAAAGAATGCAGTAGCACCAGCGGCTATACTGGTGGTTGCTACTGTCACCAGTTTGATAGTCATCTTGCTTGACTTCCTGGCCATTATTAATAGTATTAATGGTTACATTTTAAGGAACACAGATCATCATTGACTTAAGCTTTGATATGCTGCTTAAGGACAGTGAGGTTGGGTTAAAGGCCACAGCAAGAAAAAAGAAAAAGATAGAGATGTTTTTTGTTCATATCTACATCTGTACAATAAGATATGATATGTTCATTACTTTTAAAACATGAAACATAACTATAGGACTAAGAGATTTGACTAATTTATTATAATAAAATATTTTGTTCATCCCCAAATTTTCTCTAACAAAATATCAGTACCCCAATCAAATGTACAAAAACAGATAATTCATGAAACAAGAACTACACATGGCCAATAATGGGAAACAATGAGCCTGAATGATAAGTAAAGAATTGCAAAGTAGGAGGAGAGTAAAGTTAACCTTTCTTTGCTGAAGATGTATTTTTATTTTTTCTCTTCAACCCATTCATTTCAATAGTATGGGAACATGGGTTCACTCAAATACTGTTGATTCTAGTATAGTATAGTTTGAATGTCATCAAGATTTGCTATGATAAAACTTTTACAAAATGTTTTTTGTCAAGCAAATTATAATATCACATGAAGTAGTTCATAAGCAGTTGTGTTGTAAGTATACTTCATAGAGTCTGTGCCTAGCAACCTGTGAATTCACTGTTTGCTGTCATGATCCCCAACAGGTGATCTCTTGTGCCCTTTACTGCCCAGATTACACAGCTAATTAGGTCAAAAGGAGGGAGTAGAATTAAGGGTCTAAAAGTTAAGCACACTAAATGAAGCAATTTGTACTTTTCTTATGTAAGAAATACCAAGTACATTCCTGGTATAAAATATAAATATTACCTATAAAACTGAAGTTGTTTTTGAGGTGCATTTCCTGATCTGCATCCCAGTCTCTTCCCCAGGAAAACCAGTCAATAGTTTTGGTATGTGTTGTTGCCTTTTTGTACATATGTGTGTATGTGTCCACATCTTAGAACTAGGTATTGTGCTGGTGTTTTTTTGTTTTTAAATATGAATGCAACCTTTCTGTATCATAGTTACTTTCTGATTATATCTTGAAGATCTTTTGTCACCAAATGATCTCATTCTGTTAACTGCTCCATAGTATTCTATCATATGCAACATGGTTTATAGTTAGTATAAACTTTTGAACAATCTGAAACTTATAAATGACAAAATCATTTTTTTATCTGAATCAGAGTTTTTCCAGCTGAAATATGGGGTTATTCAGGTGAACTTTAAAAGATTGGCTTTTTTAGGGCCAAGATCAGATGGGCTTGGTATTTTTCAGTAACTGTCACAAAAATCAAATAAAACCTGACATACCTTGTTTGATTTTGTTCAGTGAATTGTAATTATTATAGGTGACTGACTGTCTTGTTCTTTGTATAAGAGCTCTTCGGGGAGGAATGTATTTTATTTATCTTTGTTCCTCCCCAAGACCTAGAGCACCATGCATGTAATAAGAAAAAAAATTAACCTATCCTGGGTGACTGGAACTGAACACACTTTGTTTAGAGATTCACACTGGCAGATGCAGCAAGGGACAAGATGTGCTCAGGTGTGTGTCTACCTGAACCCCATATCTAAGAAACTTAGAACAACATCCAAAACTTGGCATCCTACCTTTTCAAAAGTTTTCAGATAAGATGAAAAGCAATTAAGTCAGGGTTTATATATGAAGCACAAAATGTAGAAGGAGTAAGTAATTCACAGGTTGTAAGAAAACCTCTTTGTCATTGGGCCAGTAGAGAATGAGACGAGCCATCCAAGCATAAAGTCAAGGTAAGTTGGAGGAAGAATGATAGCAGCATTTAAAATTACAAAGAGAATTGAAAAAAACAAATCTGGCTACCAAATATTCTAAAAAGGTACTGAATAAGTGAGTTAGACTTGCAGTTTTCCTTGGAAGGAATCAATAGACATTGTTTAAAATGATAAATCAAGAGACAGATATAAAACAATGTTCACATTGTTTACAAACATCAGAAAAAGAAAAAGTATAAAACTTGCTTTTATTGTGAGGATCAGGAGAGAAAAAAAAATGTTGCTTTTCCTTAAAAGCTGTTACATTATTTGATTTTTTGCTAAATGCTTTTTTTTTTTTTTTTTTTTGCAAAAAATGTTGTGTACCCTGCTCTAAGATCTATAAAATATAGCTATGTTTCTGTTAAAATGAGTAGAACTTATATGAATAAAAAAGGGGTTTTAGTAGTCAGGTTTTTTTTATTATTTGTGTCAAAAGTATTCTTTCTTATTCTTACAGCTTCTAAGACCACGGGAGAAAAAGTTGGGACTAGGTAAGTAGAACTCTCACCTGTCACCTGCTTTTTGATTTGGCAGATTGTTCAGTATGTATTTGTTTGGAATATGGCCACAATATAGTAACTCCCTATAATGATTTTTAATGATCTTAATGACATTTAAATGGTTTGAGTTGCCTGTATCAGTCAAGGTCCACATGGGAAAACAGAACCACCACGAGTCTTTCAATATAGTGAATTTAATACAGAGAACCTGGTTACACGGGTGAAGGAGTTGCTGAGGAGCCAAATGGAATAGTGAAGCTACTTGGGAATTAGTAATAGCTGGAGGTTCCTACCACCAAGATGGAGCAGCAACCCAGGCAGCCCAGAGGAAGCTAGAACGATGAAGTCGGTGATACCCGACTGGAGTTGGAGTCATTGAGGATGTACAGTCCGTGCAGGGAAGCAGAGTGAGAGAGGGAGGCCACTTGACCTTCCCCTTCTCTCCTCTGCCTCTCAAAGGGAAGCCAGTTGACAAGCCAACCTGGGAAATAAGTTACTTGAATATAGAGAAAGGCCAAATAAGGGATCTGAGGGCAAACATATTGCACCAGCACACTGCCTTAGCTATAAACCTTTGAACATTTCTTTAAGTCATAAGTTTTAAAAAGGTACTTACTTTTAAAACAGAAATCTTTCTTAGCTTTTAAACAGTTAAAATCTCAGATGAGCTCAGTCATTCTGGGATGAAGATCTAAATGCCTTCATTTCTGTTGTTAGTCATCATTGCTTATGTAAAGAATTGGTATAATTTTACTGAAAAACTGGAGAAACAGATCTTCAAAATTGAATGTTATTCTGAAAACTATTAGTTAACTGGCTTCATTAAATGTTCTGAATATCTGAATCCAGAAAGTTGTTTGGGATTGAAATAATCTGGATGTTGCCATTGAAAGCAAGAATTACTGACCAGTCAGTGGTATATCCAAAAAGCTTTGATTGTCACTTCTTAACAAGAAGTTAGAAGAGATCAGCTTTGCTAGCAAGACAGTGGTAGTTTGGGGCTAGAGAATGCAGAAATCCCCAAATCCTGCTCCTAGTCAGTTATCTTACCTGCCAAGTCCCTGAGGAATTTTTAGGCCTGAAGATGCTAAGTATTTGCTAGCTGTGCCTTTGGCCCCAAATACCAGAGCAGGGATCTATTGTACCTGGCCTCCTACAATGTGGAAGACACTGACAAGGGAAGCTTTGACGAGAAGAACAGAAGCAGGGAAGCTTGGTAAGAAGGGGTTATTAGAAGATGGTACCTGGGACTAATGTAAATTCACAACAAAGAATGTAATTGAGAAATGTTTCTTATTAAGAGTAAATAATTATACTAGATCAGGATCATCTTTAGAGGACTAATGTATGCTTTTCAGTGGTTAACAATTACTTCTCAGATGTTGTATACATAAGTATTTCCAGTGATTTTCTTTAATGGAGGTAAATATTTTCATTTTTAGGAACTGCATATATACATGGAATGAAACATGCCACAGGAAATTACATAATTATTATGGATGCTGATCTCTCACACCATGTAAGTGGCATATTTCTTTATCAGTGGATTTATGATTGCCTTAGCCTGTTTTACTGACTTACTGTTTATTCTTTCTAAATTTCAGCCAAAATTTATTCCTGAATTCATTAGGTAGGTAATTCTAATATTTGGAAAAAAATACACGATTCAAATCATTTATCTTATATTGATTTTAGACTTATTTTTGTTTTTCATTCTTTATTAATTGAAAAATGAACATGCTATTTTGTTAGCTATCAAAAATAAAACGAACCTATTGATTTGAGATTCATGAGTATATAGTATGTGACTAAATGATGTGTTTTAGGAGCCCTGAATAACTGATCAACAAATAATTTCTCTTTTATCTAGATTATTCCAGACTACATATAAAGCCAGTAGGTGACTTCCTGTTAAATGGAATTAAGCCCTAGATCATAAGGGTGAAACCTCATGAGCAAATAAGGTTTATTCAGGAATGCTAGAGTGTTTCATCTTCAGGAATTCGTCAACATAATTTATAACATTAACAAAAAATAAAATAAGCTGGGACCGGTTTGGCTCAATGGATAGATCATCGGCTTGGGGACTGAAGGGTCCCGGGTTCGATTCTGGTCAAGGGCATGTACCTTGGCTGCGGGCAGATCCCCAGTAGGGGGTGTGCAAGAGGCAGCTGATCGATGACTCTCTCATCGATGTTTCTAACTATCTCTCTCCCTTCCTCTCTGTACAAAATCAATAAAACATATTTTAAAAATAATAATAAAAAAAAATAAAATAAAATAGTGTGATCAAGTCTGTAGATGATAAAGTTTGATCAAATTCACCAGCCATTTCTAATAAAAATTTTATAAAGTACAAATGGAAGGAAACCACTTAAATGTATAAAGAAAACCCAATCCTAATACAAATGTTTCACAAAATGGTGAAATGTGGAATCATTTCTAATTCATCAAGATAGGCATACCAGCTAATATTAAGCATGAATATTTTACATAATATTTTTAGGCAAGAATTTAGTATAAAATATAACACAGGGGAAAATCCACAGGTTTGTGTGTGTTTTTGTCCCTCAAACTGCTGTGTAATCTGATCCCTGCCTCCCTTTCTGAACTTACCTTGTGCCTCTCCCCTTTGCTCTTTCTGTTGCAGGCATACTCCTTCCATTTCTGTGCTCACAGGATGCTATCTATGTTCCCTTTGCCTGCAGTGCTCTTTGCCTGCTCCTTAGTGGTCAGTGAATCACCTCAGAGATACCATCTCTTCTTTTATCTCCAATACACAAAGCTCCTTTGACTTGATAAAGAGAGAGAAACAGTGGTGTGGGAAACAGGAAAGATGCAAACAGGCCATATGTACTGATAAAAGAAATTCAAATGGCTAATAAACCTAAGAAGATAGTCACCCTAGGACAGTGTCATATACTACCAACCACTGTCATATACTACCCTTTACCTTTTTGTACACAATATTCCACAATTGCCTAATCCTCACAGCTTCCAACTACATGGTAACATTTAGTCTAGCAGTGGTCATCAAACTCGTAAGTCAACAGAGCGGCAACCCCGGCTCATGAGCTTCAGTTTGCCGACGACTGTAGTTCTCAATCTTCCTAATGCCATGACCCTTTCATACAGTTCCTCAAGTTGTGGTGACCCCCAACCATAAAATTATTTTTTTTGCTACATCATAATTAATTTTGCTGCTGTTATGAATTGTAATGTAAATATCCGTTTTCTGATGGTCTTAGGCAACCCTACTAGCGGTTCTCAACCTGTAGGGTTATGATTCGATTTCCAATCAAGGCACATGCCCAGGTTTCAGGCTCAACCTGGTGGGGGGGGCATGCATCATCATTGATATTTCTATTTTTTTTTAAATTGATTTTTTACAGAGAGGAAGGGAGAGAGCTAGAAACGTAAATGAGAGAGAAACACTGACCAGCTGCCTCCTGCACAACCCCCACTGGGGATGTTCACCCAACCAACGTACATGCCCCTGACCAGAATCGAACCTGGGACCTTTCAGTCCGCAGACCGATGCTCTACCACTGAGCCAAACCAGTTTCGGCTGATGTTTCTATTTTTCTCTCCCTCTACCTTCCTCGCTGAAATCAATAAAAATATAAAATAATTAACTATGTTGTTATTACCCATTAGTTTATTAAACTTAAAAACTTAATTCAGCAATACATCTAGCACCAATAAGACTAGAAAATGAGCATACTCAAATATTGCAGGAAGAAGTGAGTTGCTACATTTTTGGAAAGTAATTTCTATGGTGAGATCGGTTAGGATTATTTTAGCAATTCCATTATGTTGTACTTGGTGTAGTCTATTTATTGTGCTTGTGCTCTTGGAAATCAGAGCACCCATCATGGAAACAATCATATGAGTATACAGGTTAAATATTTTTGCAGCTATTAAGAAGAATGGAGACCCTGGCCCATGGGAGTCAGTGGTTAGGGTATCAGCCCAGGTACCAAAGAGTCTTGGATTTGATCCCTGATCAAGGGCACGTACCTAATCCTTGGCCCTAGTTGGACCTGTGCAGGAGGCAACCAATTGATTTGCTCACATGTTTCTCTCTTTCTCTCCCCATCCTTTCCTCCCTTCCAGTTTCTAAAAACAATGGAAAAAATATCCCTGGGTGAGGATTAACAACAACAACAAAAAAGAATGGGGAAATTCTCTGTCAACTTTATAGGGATATCTATGATTCCATGATCTGTATTATTAATTGACAAAAAGCAAGTTGCAAAACATACTTTTTTGAGATTCCAAATTTGTAAAAGTGACATAAAACACTATAGGGAGTCCTGTCTTTGAGTTGTCTTTCTGTAAACAAAGAGAAAGATCTAGAAAGTTGCCAGGCTGTTTTAGCATTATTTATTTCAGGTACAAGAAAAGAAATGCAGGGGGATTGTGTAAATTTAATTTTATTATTACATTTTAGGATGGTTTCACATTGTGCAGTCAGCAAATGTACTGTTTTAAATATCAGTGAAGGAAGAAAAGGATCAAGTTTGAAAAGCTTACTTTGAAAGATCTTTCAGTAGTAGTAATAATTGGCATTGTTTTTCCTAGATGCAAGTCTTGACTGTTCTGTTGGTGTAACTCGAAAATAACTATTGAAAACCCAGTAGCTTTCTCTAATTGACAGCTAATTTATTTGTTCTACAGGAAGCAAAAGGAAGGTAATTTTGACATTGTCTCTGGAACTCGCTACAAAGGAAATGGAGGTGTTTATGGCTGGGATTTGAAAAGAAAATTAATCAGGTATATACATGTGCTATGATTACTGGGTTTTTAGTGTAACTACTATAAATATGTTTATAACAGGTATTTAGGTTAAATTACCATACTGCCTTGTTATTTGTGGGATCAGAGTATTAACTTCCAATAAATATTTCCAGATAGCTTCTTACCTACAATTTTTCCTATGATTATTTTATTTGGGGTCTTTTTCACTAAGGAAAAATCAACATAAACCTTTGAACCGTTAGTAAAAATGGTATGATTCAGCACAAATATATTCTCTGAACCTTCATCTATATTTTAGGACTATTAAGGTAGTTTTCCATATATATTTTTATCGTTTTAAGTAAGACACTTAATTATTTCACCTTTTTTAAGGAGCATTAGTGAAGCTACTGACTGTATCATTTAATTATCTGTCACGTTGCATGTTTTCCTAAGCTTTACTTTCCCCATCATAAATTGGAAATGAAACCTACTGTTTCAGTTTTCTACTGGTGTATAACAAATCATCCCAAAGCTTAGTGATGTAAAATGACGACATTATTTCTTCTGGTTCTGTGGATTGGCTGGTGGTGGGTCCTCTGCTGGCTTCACCTGTACTCATTCATGCGGCTTCCTTCAGCTGGAGAGGCAGCTATGCTAGAAGATCCAAGTAGCCTCATTCATCCATCCAGTAGTTGATGATGGTGGTTGTCTGCATGTGGCCCCTCACCTTCTGGAAAGCTATACCAGCTTCTTTACATGGCTTCCTAAGGGCATTGTCCAACAGTACCAAGGCTGCAGCCATAAGGTTTCTTGAATCCTAGGTTCTGGGACTAATTCTTGGTCAAGGCAAGCCCTTAACCAAGAGGTACAGAAATAGAATGAAAGACCCGTAAAAATTTTTGGCCATTACTATTTTTTTTTTTTTATCATCTACTTCATTCCTGTTGAAGATTCTGTTAATCTCAAGTTTGCCTTTTAACTGTGAATCTTGGGCAAGTCATTTAAAACATATAAGTGCCTCAATCTTCAGAGAAATGAAAGGGTTGAATAAAACAGTAGTATTCAATCCTGCTAAATATTGAAATTATGTAGGGAGGAAATTACACACAACTCCCTTTCTTGTGCACACACACAATGCAAACTGTTTGAATAGCTCTCATAGGTGGGGCCAAAGCATCAGTATTTTCCACAGACTTCCCAAGTGACTATACTGCAGACAAGATTGAAACCAATAGTAATCTCTCAGGCTTCTCTGATTTCGGTCCATTAAAACTGTTCTTAAAATTAGGGAGTTCCAATCAGACAGTTTACAGCTTTTAGTTGAATCATTTAGTTGTAAATGTAATTAGTTGTTCATGTCTGAGCTGACTTAAAGTATAAACTCCTGAGAAAGATTGTTATCACTTGTGCAAGGTCTCATTTATATGGTCCAGAATCAGAATTTGAACCCAAGACTGTCTGACTCTTGCTGCACTTTAACAGACCCCTATTTAAAAATATATACCTTAAATACATGTAGATACACACACACACACACACACACACACACACACACAATATATAGATATATATACTTAAATATCTTTGATTACATACATATTGGGGGAGGGGAGGCCTGTGCCCTGGAATTTTTGTTGTTATTGCTTTTTAAAAAAATTTGGAGGAAGGGAGTATTTTTGTTAGCCATTATCCCAGCTATATCCCTGTGTTAAATATATATTTTTAAATATATTTTATTGATTTTTTTACAGAGAGGAAGGGAGACAGAGAGTTAGAAACATCAGTGAGAGAGAAACATTGATCAGCTGCTTTCTGCATACTTCCCACTGGGGATGTGCCAGCAATCAAGGTACATGCCCTTGACCAGAGTCGAACCTGGGACCCTTGAGTCTGCAGGCTGACGCTCTATCCACAGAGCCAAACCATGTAGGGCGCCCTGTATTATATTTTGAAAAATATGTTTTTATTGATTTCATAGAGAGGAAGGGAGAGACATCAGTGATTAGAGAGAATCATCAATGGCTGCCTCCTGCATGCTTTCCCTTCTCTCCCTCCCAACCCCATCCACTTGGGGATCCAGCCCTCAGCCTGGCATGTACCCTGACCTGGAATTGAACTGTGACCTCAACCACTGAGCTAAATCAGCTGGGCCCGTGTTATTTATATAAAAATCATCTTTCTATAAGATGGCCTTGGTGGTTAAATTGGCTGTGGAAACTTATCTCCAGGCTACCCTAGAAAAGTTTTTTTTTTTTTGTGTGTGTGTGTGTGTGTGTGTGTGTGTGTGTGTGTGTGTGTGTTTAAATATGAGCACAGTAAAATAGCTGCAGTACAAACGTCACTTTTTTCAAGAGGGCCTTACACATCTTTTTGAAACGTTAATAGCTGTCAGTAATAGCTTGTATTTGATTGTTACTTAGAGGTGTTTGAAGCAGTGCCCTAAAGTCATTGTTATGGACTCAGTGTGTCTGCTAAAATTCATGTTAGAGTACCTTACCCTGAAAGTGTTGATATTTGGAGGTGGGACCTCTGGGGGGTAATTAGGTGTAAATGGGTGCTCACTGTGGGGCATTCATGGTAGGATTAGTGCTCTCTGAAGAGAAGAGGAAAGCTTGGACCTGCCCTTCCCTGTTGTGTGAGCCCTGCAAGAAGGCAGCCATCTGTAAGCCAGGAAGAGGTTTCACTTCCTTGGACTTGCTAGCCTCCATTAGCGTGAGAAATATCTGTTTAGCCACCTACACTGGTGTTTTGTTATAGCAGCCCAAGCAGACTCAGACAGTCTCGGATTGAACCTTGGATAATTTCCAGAGATTGCCAAAAACCAAAGCCCTCTTTTACTTACACACCTTCTCCCCCTTTTTTTTTTAAAGTGCCATTTTTATGCAAACCTATTACTTAGTTGAAACCACTCACTCTCCCTTAGTGCTTATTAGAATATAAAAAAAAAAACTCCAGATCTCTCATCTTTTGCTAGCTAACAGATGTTTGAAATTCTAAATGGCTGCTGACAAATACACAAGTTAAAAACCTGCTATCATTCATACCTAAAGTTTAAAAGAGTGATTGCTTTATAGGTTCCCTCCAAATGTTCCTATTAATATTTTCTGAAAATCCAAAACATCAGATCTCCTTGCACTGACTAACAGTTTATTTGTTCTATAGAATTAATATTTTTGTGAAATAGTGTTGCATTTATTTATGAAATTAGGATAGTATTTTTAGTACTCTTGGATGTTTTTCTCTTGTTTATAAACTATTTTATAAAGAAAATATGATTGTTTTATTTGACAGCCGTGGGGCCAATTTTATAACTCAGATTTTGCTGAGACCAGGAGCATCTGATTTAACAGGAAGTTTCAGGTACAGTAAAAATCTGTAATTTTTTATTTCTACTACTTATAACTGCCTAAATTTCTTGCTTTATGGTTTTATTTTTAAATGTGTTTTTATTGATTTTTTTTTTTTTAAGGGAGAGAGAGAAAGGTCCTAGAGGAATAGAGAGACGCATCGATGAGAGAGAAACATCATTGATCCACTGCCTCCTGCATACCCCATATTGGGGATTTAGCTCACAACCTGTGTGCCCTGATTGGGAATCGAACTGGTGACCTCTTGGTGCCTGGTAGACACTCAACTGTTTAGCACAATGGCTTGTTTTTGTCCTGGGACTCTAAAAGGGCAAACTGTAGTTCCTTAGAAGATTCTAATGAAGCCTCCACGTCTTGAAAAACACTGTGCTTTTTAAAGAGCATTAAAGTCAGGGCTCAGGTTAGTGTGCTTGTCCATGTTAATACTAATATTCTGTCCATAGGAGTGCCCTCCGGGCGCCCAAAGTGACACTCACTACTCATTCTAAACATTGCTGTTGCTGAGAATAGCACCTCTTCCAGGAATTTTCTGCAATTATATAAATACTTATAGCATGGTCCACAGAAATGTTTAAAGCCTTATTTATATTAGAGTCTTTTCAGTTACCTTGTTGTCCATTATTTTTCTAATAATATTTCTTATTTAATTGTTACAAAGCCTCCTGCTGGGTCCCTGGATTTTTTTATTTTTGTTTATTCTTGAAAGGGGGTGGTGTATGTGTTTAATATTAGACCTGTTGTATTTCCCAAACTTTTGACATATGTGTACCCCTTCTATAATTTTCGTAATGCTGAGTACCCCTCGTACTCATGAGAACGTAGAATTAGGTGCAGCTAAGCATGGTGCAGTGCATATCCCTACCAAACTCCGGTGCAACGCGTACCCCCACCAAACTCTTCCCGTACCCCTGGGGGTACGCTTTACCACACTTTGGAAAACACTGCAGTAGATGAACTATTTTATATGATCATGCCAAATGATTAAAGCCTGCCAGATGTTTATTATCATCAAAACTATAAAATGCCTGTTCATTTTCATTGAAGCCCAAACCCCATGCACTTGTTAATATTTTATATTACTTGATATTTACTTTTTCCATTAAATTATATTGATTTTTTATTCTTCACTAGAATTCACACAAATTAGGAGCTGACCATTAAAGGTAATTAGCTGACCATTAAAGGTAATTACAGTTACCTGTAGTGTAACTGTAAGTCTTAAATAGCAGTTCAGAGACACTAAGAAGGTCAAAAGTGAAGGAGAATTTAAAAAAAAAAAAAAAAGTATTTGGTAAAATAAGAGTGTTTATGAACCACGGACAATTGCCTTCTCCCCATCTTTCACTTCTCCCCAAACAATAAAGAGAGGAGACATCACAGATTAGAGACCAAATATTGAAAATGAAACCTCTGTAGAATTAAAATGTAAATTGGTTAGAAAGCAGATTTTGGTGTGTAAAAGACAGATGTATCCCTTTTGTTCCACACGTCAAGGCAAAGGAATGTGTTATCTGATTAAGATCACTGATTACCATGTAGCAATAATGCAAAGGGTAATGGCACTTGCAGAATCTCTGTGCAGACGGAATGGCCAATGTGGACTTTACAGGCCATAGGCATGATGACTTTGATTAAAGATCCAGGATGGCTCCATGAGTTGTGGAGATAGGTAGGGGCTTTGTTTTTTGGCTTAGTTCCCCTATTGAAAGCTCTGCAGGTGCTTTCACAACTAAAAGGTGGTTCATTTTAGATTGAGCAAACAATTGCATGCCACGCATTGTCCTTATGTTTATACATTCTAATGACATGAGACTTACAGCATAACATGGGAACCCAGCTGTAAAGAAAAACATTACAGACAGAGTATTGGGTGGCAGCACCTCATTGCATCAGACCATCTGGGGAATAGAGGAAGGGTGAGTTCTGGGTGTCTTTTATTTTTATTTATTTTTATTTTTAAAATATATTTTATTGATTTTTTACAGATAGGAAGTGAGAGGGACAGAGAGCTAGAAACATCAATCAGAGAGAAACATCAACCAGCTGCTTCTCACTGGGGGTGTGCCCACAGCCAATGTACATGCCCTTGACCAGAATCGAACCTGGGACCTTTCTGTCCGCAGACCAATGCTCTATCCACTGAGCCAAACTGGTTTCGGCTCTGGGTGTCTTTTAGAGAGAGCAGTGATTGGGTGTATTCTGTGCAAAAATCAGAATAGCCACACACACACAAAAGTGAGCCTGTTGATTTCACTACTTTTAAATCATTAAAGCTCGTTATCCCTTGATAAGAGTAGTGTTTTATTAAATACATGCTTAAAGTTCAACTTCTCATTAGATGAAGTTCCTAGTATTGAGGAGGCATGTGTCTTTTACCTAATAAAGGGAACCCAAAAAGACTGCAATCTGATATAAAGCCATATAATAGCAAAGACCATTTGGATCCTAATTATCCTGTTTGTTGGCTCATGGCTTCATGTATGCAGTATTACATCATTAGTCATAGTTTTAAAGCTACTGTGGTGGGAGAGAAAGGGCGGCAATAAAGATAAATAAATGAAATAACTCTTTATGAGGAGTGAAATGACTTAACGGGAGAGAATTCCTAGCCAAAACCCATCATGATCATAAGTCTTTCCCATAATCGAATTTCTCTTCCCTATTTAATTAACTTTGTGATGAATTTATTTAGTTTCTACTGCTAAAATCCTAAAACATAAAAAGGAACCTTAAATACAGTAGGTTGCTTAATAAATACTTATTGCATAACTATTCTACCATCCATTTCTCCTCCCTTTAGATTTATTTCAAGCTTATCCTTTTGAACTCTTATGGAACCTATGTGGGTAAAAGAGTGCATACACTAGTCATTCTCAGGTTCCTCTCTGTCATTTAATATCCACTTCAAAGCTGGAAAAGCCAAAAGAGGTAGGGTTCCCTAGAGGAAGCCTGAGAAAAAAGTCAGTGTGTGTTCCAGGTAAAGCCCTTGGGCATTGTAAATCCAGGTGGCTTGAACTGGGAAGAAAACTAAGTTATGCTAAGCTGCCTCTCCTAACTTGCTCTCAAAAAAGAGGGAGAAACTGTGACTTCTGACTGGTGATAGCTGTGTCCAACCAGGATTGCCTCCCAGTTCCTGTCTTAATCTAGCTTACCCAGCCTATTCTTGGAGTGGCTATCCCAGAAAATTTATTTAGTAGATCTTCAGAAATAGCTCATCATAAACATTTATGAGGAAACCCTGTTAATTACTAGAGTCTTTCTTGTCATCTAATTTATATTATTGCTTCATCTATCAACTCTATTTTTCCAACTTTTGGAACAATTTCTACTCTTTCCACTTTAAAAATTAATTTTAAGAAAATTTTGAAAGTTAAAAACAATAGGCTCTGCTTTGAATGGTTTAATTTACTATATTTTTATAATTTCTGATAGTATGGTAGAAAAATAATTCCCTAAAAGATACTAAAAATTCATTTTCTAAATTATTTACAAGGTATTTCATGACCCTCTGTTTCAGGACAAATGTTTATCAACTTATTCATACACCAATAGGATCCCAAGTGGCTGCTGGCTGCCAGTGGGGGCCTCCTCCCTCCCTTCCCCAGGCGGGCTCACCCCCTGGTCGAACTCCTGGAAATACTCCGGTGGAGGGGACAATTTGCATACTATGCTTTTATTATATAGGATGACTAGTAACATTTTTAGGTCTTAAAAATACTAGTGAATTTTTTTAAATTTAATCCTTACCCGAGGCTATTTTTCCATTGATTTTTAGAGAGAGGGAAAGAGAGAAACATCGATGTGAGAGAAGCACATTAATTGGTTGCCTTCTGCATGATCCCCGACCAGGGCCCGGGCTGGGGAGGAACCTGCAACCAAGGAATATGCCTTTGACCGGAATCAAACCCAGGACCCTTCAGTCTGCAGGCTAAACCAGCTAGAAAACACAAGTGAACTTTTTGAGAGGTCAGGATGCATGTAGTTACGTGTATTTATCTAGGTGTTTATACATATATTTTTAAATTTTATATAGGTTATATCGAAAAGAAGTTCTACAGAAATTAATAGAAAAATGTGTTTCTAAAGGCTACGTTTTCCAGATGGAAATGATTGTTCGAGCAAGACAGTTGAATTATACTATTGGCGAGGTATGCAATTAATGGTAAATAATATGTTGCAGTCCTTATAAATAATAAGGTTTAGACTTTGTTGTAAAAAGTTTAATTTTCATAACTACCAAAAGTGAAAGATTTCCAGCTGTTGAGAATGCCCATACGCTAACGGGTGAAAATTCACATCCGTTTCACAGCAATACATTTGACCTACCAAGATTACCAGAAAGGCAGCATTCCCTTTTAAATAATAAAAGTTACTGGTATCTTCTCCATCCTACCCCTTTCTTCTGACCACTCAGTATTCTGGGATGAGTCTATTCGCTGCTTTCCTCCTGCCATAGTCCACACCCACCCAAATTTAAAGTGAATGCTGAGTTCCATTGCCCATTTCCTATGAGGAAACGGAAAGCACAGGAATAGCTCGGGGGGAAGGGGGAAGGGTCTGTAATATTTACAGCTAGTTCATGAACTATTAGGGAATACTCTCCTTGTTTAACACTAGGACTCTTAGAGCAAGAAGTAGCTAGCTAGAATGCCACGTCTTGTGGAAATTTCAAAATTTTTAACTTAATACTAAAATATGACAGCTAAATTTGACAGACTAATGAAAAAATTAAGTGAAAGGCTATTTTACTTTTGCAGTATAATTTTTCCTTGAAATCCAGTCAAACTTGAATAAACCAACTTAATATGCAGGATCAATGCTTTCAAACACATGTCGATTTGGTTTATAATAGCCCAGTTTTAGATAATAAAGTGCCTGTTAAATTTTAAAAAATTCTAGGAGGTGCACACAGTTGTAAGAATTGAAGGAATTGCTTCAATTTAAAGGAATTGCTTTCATAGAACTTAAGTTTTGGTTGTATTAGTAATTTTTATATGCTTGCTACACTTCCTTTCTAATATTTTTGAATACTGACTTAACATATATTTTTTTAACTAGGTTCCAATAACATTTGTGGATCGTGTTTACGGTGAATCCAAGTTGGGAGGAAACGAAATAGTCTCTTTCTTGAAAGGATTATTGACTCTCTTTGCAACTACATAATAGAAAGTTATTTATTTATCATGTTCATTTCAATTTAAACAGAGGAAGCTGGTTGCTGATTTTTTTTTAAATGTGCTTAGAGCATAAATCATAGGTAAGATAAATTTCATGCAAATCTTTTTTTTCAAAGAAGTTCCATTTTATATGTCAAATTAAATTAGAAAAATGAGCAGTGTTCTCAATTTTCTTTAACATTTTGCTGTATTAAGACCTACAAATAAATGCATATGGATTTTTGCATAAAATATTGCTGCTTTTATTAGAGTATGTGAATGTAGAATTTCTTACAGGGAAGATCTTGAAATATTTTCTATAAAAACTGTATTCTTAGCTCTTTGTACCTAATAGATGCCAGAAGAGGAATGCTTATTCATGAAATATATATGACTTTCTGTGTGAATTGAAAAAGAAATACACACTTTTGCCCTTTCTTTTAAAATGTATCTGAAATTTCTTAAGTCAGATAAAACAATACATTTAGAGCACAGTTTTAGAGTTTGGTTCTTTGCAGCTGTTAAATTGGTGAAGCAATTCAACTGTCAAAGCGAGTCTATTTAAAATATATATTTGAATTGGAAACAACTCGACAACAGTTGATAGCATAGCTGTGTTTGCTCTTCTGAGCAATAACTTCTATCAGTAAAGAAAAACATTGATGCTATTAAAGCATAAATTTAGTTGCTCTTAACATACTATATAATGATTTTCTTTCATAAAATAACTCTTTTCATATTATTTCAGAACCCTCAAGAAAGCATACATCTTTTCTATAAAAAAAACACAAAAGTTCCGTTCTTACAGCTTTTCTCTCTGTTCAGAAAAATGTTCTGATAGTTTAAATGCAGGTTAAGTTGTTTAGTAAAGCCAGCGCAAATATTTTATTTTCCTTCTCTAAAGTAGGTATTTCAAAAAAAATCAGTCTGTAATTGTAACATAGCTTTTGGATCATGAAGTATATTTTAAATTTTTGGGTGTGGCATACTATGGCATATAAGCTTAAGATCAAATTGACTCTCCTTTGCAAATAAAAGGAGGAGGCATCTCTAAGTTATTTAATAAAAAATTAGTGAACCATATTCTTAATTACATTTCCCGGGCTTACTTTGGCTGCCAAAGTCAAGAAATTTAACAGATCCTACCAGAAATGAATACCAGAGTATTAAACCATTGGTGCCATTTTGAACATTGCCTATTCCCATAGTTGAATCCATAGGACACGTTGAAGTAAGAGCCTCTAGCGTTGCGTTTCCCTTTTACACAGAGCTGTTTAGGACGCACCAGAGATCCACCTTCAGGAAGTAACTTCTCTCATTATTACTAGAAAAATTATCACTGTTTTATGTAAAATTGCTTTTAAGCTAACATAAATAAATACAATATCCTTTCTTTTTTTAAAGTATTTAGAATCTGTTCTCATTCATCCAAAGCCGAAGGTATTTTCATTATCAAGTATCTGGAGCAGAGATGAACCAAGTACCTCAGAGAACCCACTAGAAGTAATGCCTTCTCAGACCTCCTCTAGAGTAGATACCTTTTGCCTTTTTAATCTTTCTTCCACAATCATTACAACACTGTGACTTATTGAAGTTTACACTAAAAGTATTTGAGCAGTGAAGACTTTCACCATTTGGAAGTTATTAGAAAAGAATCTAGACTATTTAGGTACATTTTTGTACTAAATGTGGTGACTTAAACACTAAAATCATTTACATGTGAATCCAGCATCCCTTTTTACTTTGTGAATGAGGCCAAGAATGAAATCCAGATGTTCTCCCTTTGTATTATCACTAGGAAATATATCTAAGATAAAATAAAAAAAAACTTGCTTATTTCAAATTAGTTTTGCCTGTCTTCTGCAACATGTAATTGAGTTATCTTTGTCTCTCTAAACCAAATGCTTTGCACCCCTACCCCCTTTTCCTTTTACAACTTTTCCCAGCTATTGTTTTCCTTTGAAATACTGATTTCGGTTTAAGGATGTGTTTTATCACAATTTCCGAAATGAATGAAATACTGTGTTGGATGACACATTTTGTTAAATCTGCTAACTCGAAGGTTACATTGACTACATGTAACCATAATTTGTACTATTTTCAATTAAGGTAAGATTCTTTTGGGGTATTGGGATATGGCTTGAAACTGTTACCTTGAAATTTAGAGTAACAGCAAAAGTTAAGTGTATTTACAGAGCACATCTTTAGAAAACAGGCTTGGTTAATTTTTCACTATTGGCATTTAGTATTTTTCAGTATGTTTAGCCAATGATAGACTCTCAGATGCATCCTGCTATTAAAGGTGGCTTCAAAAATGTTGAGGAGGTAATGTGTTGGTTGGGGTTGACCTACATTTACAAAGGCAAATTGCCCATGTGCTGTCTTAACTTGTCAGATTGTGGGAGCACTAAGTGACTGTCCCTAGAACTCTACAGTCAGAGTGTAGTTTTTAAGGATCTTGAGGTCCATTGGCAACATCATTTCTCATCCTTGGGCTTCACCAGTCTAATAGCCTCAAAACACGAGGGATCCCGTTTGTTCTCTTCAGGCCAAGGAGAAGAGCCCACCATCACAGCCTTGGAAGAATGTCAAGTAGAAGGGCAAAGCCTGCTTTCTGTAAAACACAGCCCCTGCCCACTGAACAGCCCAGCTGCCAGGAAGGGTTCCGGCATCACCCATGGGGTTGTGTCTCACCTCAAGTCAGTGTGTGAAGCACGAGGCACTCACACCTCATTTAAGCTGGAGGCATCAGGCACCACCAGCCAGGTGTCCCTGCCCTTCCCGCTGCTGCTCAGCCAGTGAGAGCTGGGGCTCTCGGCACGTGGTGCCTCAGGCTGCCCGCACGCCCCCTCCCGCCAGATGTAGTGCGGGCCCAGCTGGGCCCGCGCAGGGATCCCAGCTCGGCCACCTGACTGAGTGCTGGGTGCTGCGGCCTCTGCTGTGCTCTGCCGCCGGCGCTGCGGTCAGTGAAGGCGCCTGCCGTGCACACGGGCCCTGGGAGCGCACTGCGGCCTTTATCTGCGGCGCCTCCTAGTGGGTCAATGGCAAAACCTCTGGATTCTCGCGAGATTTCTTCCTCAGTGGGGATTATATAATTTCCCTTAGGCGGGGTGGAGGGGTGCTGGCGCCACCCTCCTTCAGAAAAAAAGTTAGGTGCCAGCATAATTGGGAGTAAGAGAGTTGTCCCTGGGGACACGTGTGGAAAGGGTACCGTTTCCCCCACACACACACTTAGCTGGACAATGAGTCCTCTTATGCTAATGAGCTCTTACGTCACTTCCGCTCTTTCTCAGCCGCCATTTTGGCTAGGGCAGGTTCGGGGACTTGCTCTGAGGCGCTTGTATTGTCTGCTGAGGGGAGACGTGGGATCTGCCCCCTCCCCCGCCCGTTGCAGCCGCAGCCGCCGCCGGCCCGGTCTCCCCTCCGCCGCCCGCCGAGATCTATGAGCTGAACTCCCGCCCCCCCGGCCGCCGCCATCTTGTCCCCCCTCCCCCTCCCGCGGGCAGCGCTAAGGGGGATTTTGGCGTCTCCTCAGGCACAGCTCCCTCTCTCGGTCCCCGCAGCTGAGGAGCGAGAGGAGCGCGGCCGCCGCCGTCCGCCTGCCCGAGCCAGTGAAGCGGCGTCTCCCACACCCTCCGTCTCCTCCCTCCGCCCCTCCTTTGTCTGCACCGCTCGACGACGCCGCCGCCCGCGCGGGGACTGGAGGAAGCCGCTCGCGCCACCGCCGCCGCCCGCCCGCCCGCCCGCCGCTCTGCTGCGCCCGCCGCGCCCCCCGGCAGCAGCCGCGGCCGCGGCGCGAGCCGGAGCCCGCCGAGGCCACCGAGCCCGGGCGCGCCCTCGCCGCCACCGCCGTGCCGCCGCCGCCCGCCCGCCGCTGCTCCCGCCCGGCCCCCGAGCACGCCGGCCCCGCGCGCGCCTCGAGGCCGAGTCAAGGTAAGCCGCGCGCCGCCCGCGGCCTGGCCCTCGGTTCGCGCTCCGCCCGCCGAGCCGGCCCGGCACATTGTTGTCTACATTGCCAGCCCTCCAGCCGCACACGCTCCTTTGCATACTCCGGGGCTGACGGGCCGCCCGCCCCGCGCGAACCGCTCCCCGGCTCTGCTCCGGGGGCCAGGCGCCTCCTCCTGCAGCCCGAACCCCGCTTCCCGCTCCCCGCCTCGTGAGCCGCGGAACCCGGCGAGCCAGCCTGGCCGCCGGAGCTTCAGCCGCTCATGGCATCTCCCTCCACCCCGCCCTCAGCAGGAGCCGAGCTTCACCCATCCCTGGAACTCAGCCTTTCCTCCCGCCAGCCCCCACGCACACCCCCAAACCTGGGACGAGCCTTCTGCCAGGTCTATCCACCCATAGCTAGGGGAGGGGGGGCGGTTTGGGGGGCGGGAAGCATGCACCGCACGAGTGAAAGTCTGCCTCTGCTGTGCAGTCCTTCCTCCCCGATATACCAGCTCCCCTCCTCCCGGATCACGGAGTCCTCCACCACCCTCTTCACTCAATCGCAGCGCCTGGTCAGCACGACCTCTGAGGAGCATTCTGAGCCCCAACTTATAAAGTGGTAGGAAATGGAAAGCCAGAAAGCTGCGAAAAGATTTTTTTTTTTTTAATGTAATGAATGGGGACTAGTTCTTTGAGCACCCTTTTATTCACCTCTTTCCTCTGGGCTGCCTGACTGACTGGCTTCCCCTCCCCCCAAACTGGATGCCTGGTCTGCTGGAAAAGGCGCGATTGCTTCTCTTCCTCTTCTGCCCAGGATCGGGCACTAAGATCTAATATCCTTTTTAGCCACACACACCCCACACAAGTCTTCTTGATGTTCTGCATTCACCAATTCCTCTGGACAGTTCTTGCCATAACCCCATTTCTCAGACAAAGGCTTAGGAGGGAAAAAGAACCAAACTGTTTCCAGTGCTTGCCATGTTAATGCTGTCCATCCCCACACACCCAACTCCTATTCCTGATGCTTCTCGTGCCAGTGCCTTGAACCTTCAAAATGAAAAAGAAAAGAAAAAAACTCCTGGGGAGCTTGAGACAGTTTCTTTAGAAATCTGCATTGTTGCTTCTGGTTTATGGCCATGAAAATACCAGCCCCCACCCAAAATGCACCGCAGCCAAGTCGGCTAAAGGCTATGAGTGTTGGAGTCAGTAGGGGGCGCATTCTCTGCACTGGGTAAGGCTGCAGAGGGGGGGAAGGGCCCCAGAGCTAGAACAGGATGTGCTTCACAGCGCCTTCTACAGACCATGGGAAAATGGGCCTAGCAAGACACACTGCACACTTAGCTGGTGAGCTGACAGCAACATGGCGAAGAATTGAGTCAAGAGCAGTGATTTTTATATCTTTTTAAAAATCCATCCTGCATTTTAGAAGTTCTATCTTTTTACTTTTCAAAACTGTTGACCCTCAAACAATCTACTTTAGTTCTTGATGAATCACCTTGGCACATCCTTGGTACACAGATTTCCCCTTGTCTGGAATTCTTCCACCTTAAACTTTGAATCATTGTCACCATATCTTTCCAAGGTCAGATGGTAAAGGGAAAAGCTTAAAACCTAAGAGTAACTTAGGTTTTGGGGTATTGCTGATATCTCCCTTCTTAATGGCCCAAATCTTTCCAACTCTTTGAGAGTTAATCATTCTTTAGATACGGCAGATGTTAATGGGGTAGTAGTTTTCATAAGCACGTGGATGGGTGTCATGATTTGCAAAGCCTTGTTGGTAAACATCTAGCCCACATTGAGTTCTCCATGATCAAACTCAACAGTTGATTGTAAAATTTTGTTTTCTTTCAACTTTGGGATTGTAATTGCTATTCATTATCTTAGTAACCAACCACCTTTGCAAAAGTGTTGACACTGGTCTTTGGTGAACACTCACCTCCTTAGGGTGTGTTGATGTCTATAGATTTTATTCTTATTATTTCCGTAGGTGTGAGATGCACAATGCGAAACCTGGGCCCCAGCTATCGCACCATGATGTACACACAGGGTTGTACTTTTTGTACTGAACTAGATAGGTAGCCTAGTGGTTATGCCCCCTACTGCCATTTTGAGGATCTGGACTCCGTTGCTGCTTTGCTCTTTGGACCACATTATCGATTCACACCGGTGGGTATGTTCATTTTGGAGAGTGGGAACTGCAGCAACAGGGAAGCCAGAGACTTCTTCCTCCTTGGTCACCACCAAAGCCAACGCTTCCAAAATTTTAGCCTAGCTACCTTCCTCAAGGAACCGGTTCGAGATGGTTGCATTTGTGGGTTCTGAACAAATAACTTATGACTTGTTTAGGAGAAAAATTTTAATATTTTGTAGTCTGCAGTCTTAACATAAAGTATGTTAAGTTCTCAGTTATGCTCTTTTGGTGATCCAGTCTCAAGAGTTGTTAAGCTTCTAAAAACCTTAAAGGTTCTCTGATCAGAACAGGCTTTTCCATGAACATGTACTTGCTACCAAAGATTGGCTGGTTGTTGATACTCAGGAGTACTTCAGGTATTTTATATAGATACACTAAAATAAATTTATGAGGAAATGAATTGTTGTATTTGTTACATAGTTGACCACTTTGGTGCTTAAGGGAGACTTTTCACTGGACATTTGCTACCAAGTGACATTGTGGTGAGTAAAAAAGGAGGCAGTTACAATCAGGTATTCCACTAGAAACTTAACTATCTTGCTTTTAAATTATTTAGTAATTACAAAAATCAGATATTTAAACTAAATGGGTATTGTTTGTAAGTTTTAAATATTGCTTAGTATTTGTTAAATATAACTTTGATCTGTATTTGGTTTTTGATATATTGTTACACGTAGTTTTAAATGAGTAATTTGAAGACAATTTCTTATTTGAGGGTATGTTTGAGGTGAAATTTTTAAAGATTCTGTATTTAAGATACAGACTTTATTGGTAAAGCTGTTTTTCCCCTATAGTTGCTTTGAGCTCTTAGAAAAGGATTCTGTGGCTTCAAAGATTTCCCTGGTTTGACTCTCAAAAAAAAAAAAAAGTCAAAATAAATGGGCTTGAAGGCTAGAATTTAGGTAAATTGTTAGGGTTCATTAAAGTATAGTAAAAAGCCTCAATCAGAGGGTGGGTATGGGTATCCTATCCTATTTAATTGAACATTAAGTAGAAATTGCTTCTTTATCTTGGCCCTTGTTGAAAATTTTCTAAGACTACCTTACCAGAGGATGCTGTACATTATACAAACTAAATTTTTTATTTGGGTTCTTACAGTCTATAGAAAATAATAGGTGATTGGGCTGTGAATATAAAGACCCTTCCCTCCTCACCTTACCTATCTGGAAGTCATTGGTTTTAAACATACCACTGTTGATTTGTTTTGCTTAAATTTCTCTTTTTCCCCTTAAGCCAAAGTGCAGGAGAAGTTCCAAAACTATATTAAAATAAACATCACCATATTGAACAGATTGTCAAGTAAGTTCTCAGTTATTCTTACTTTGATGACCCAATCTCAAGAGTTGCTAAGCTTCTAAAAACTTTAAAAGATTCTCTCATTAGAATAGGCCTTTCCATGAATGTGTACTTGCTTGCTCCCAAGTCACCAACCAATAAATAGGGTTTTATCAAGTAAAATGGCTTTTGATTTTCATTATAACATACATTTATTTGTCATTCATATTTGATTATTAAAAGCATGATTAAGGCATACTATGTTTTTGCTTTCCTGTAACTACTTACAAATTTTGCAGAATGTCTATTATATTTAAAATCATATATTTTAAAATTTTAAATATTCAGCAATCTGTTGGTTGATATTTAAGATGTACACATTCTGATTATACATTTAATTGAGAATTACAATTTAATAAGGAAAATAGAGCTGTTATAAAAAGTGGGAACTAATAGAGAAAAGATAAAAGAAAATCTTCAGAATTTAAGTGTATTTTTTTCTTTTGAGAAATATATAAGTACCAGAATTGTATAAATTGTAATAGACCTTGGCAGATTAATTCCATTAATAATACGTGTGTGTGTGTGTGTGTGTGTGTGTGTGTGTGTGTGTGTTTTAGACTTGGAAATGAAGTGCAGAGAAAGTTATCAGAATTAAACATTGTAGAGTTTTTTAAAAAACCTGTTTAAATCTTAGTGAAATAAACTTTTTAAAAACGATGTGAAAGTACAAAAACGTTTTTTATTTTTAAGATTAGAAATTAATTTTATATTTACATCAGGTTGCCCAATACTGTTGTGTAATAAGCTACTTATTCAACCTCGACTTAAGGTGAAAGGAGTTTCACCTTAAATGAATGTCTAACCCTGTTAGGTCTAACAAAAGGTAAAGTACTTTCCATGAAAGTTTAACTTTCATTTACTTATCTAAAATGGCATGAAGATTAAGAAAAATGCCATTCCTCTTATAAATAATTTAATTATCGTTTGATTAACAGTTTGATGTGTTATTAGCATCACATAAACTTTCAGTTTCCCTTTTTTCATTTTGTAAGAGCTCATGGTATTAAATCTGGAGCAAATGCCATGTTTTACTGATGTGCATCGCTTATTAGTTATACATATTATATTGTTAGTATGGAAACTTGGCGTTTGAAACTGTTATGAACCAAAATTCCACACTAACTGAATTAATATTTTGAATGTAAAGGCTGTTTCTTGTTTATACATTGACACTTTCCACCTTGATTTTTGAGACACTTTATAAGAGAAGCCATCTATGTTTTGCCTTCTATAATGGCCACGGTTCCATCATGACTTCATGGTTTTGTTATTTGTCTTTTATTTTTTTACCTTGTTAAAAAGTGATAGGAAGGACATAATTATTTTCCTTTACTCTTTAGTGCTTCTTATACCTGTGTTTTGGTCATGACCTATCTTCTATTTCTGTCAGGTTAGGGGTCAGCTTAAATGAGAATCCATATTCTGCTTCATTGGGAGGAGAAGACTCCCTTCACATGTCATCAGGCTTCTCAAATAT